GCCCGCAGGGGCGTGCTGGGTGTTATATATATATATATATATATAGATAGATAGATGGATAGATGGATAGATTGATAGATTTAAGTAATACTTTTATAAAACATGTAGCACCATCTTATACAGTTAGTGTTTGATTTCCACTTGAAGTCTGTGATTAATGTAGCTGTTCATCAAGTATGTCATGAAGTTTTACTTTGACCTCTGACCTCTGTGCACAGTATTAGGTTTTGATGTGTAATTACAGCAGGTGTTGTTTTTTTTCTTTTTTCTTCCTGACCTTTGATCTGCAGCTCTACGTCTTCCAGTGTCCGTTCTCCTCTTCCACCACTGATGGAGCAGGTGTAGTTGCCGCTGTCAGTCATTCCTGGTTTTCTCAGAGTGAGGCTGAAGTCTGAAGTGTCCAAAGCATCAGGCCTCATTGATGTGCGCCCTCTGTAATGCTGATTTTGTCCTTTAAAGTCATCTCCTTCTTTTTGTTGTACATGGACAGATCTGGGCACAAGATCATTGCGAGTCCACATCACTATGGGGTCATCAGGTATAAAACCTGAGAACTGACAGGGGAGGAGGACAGACATTTCCCCTGCATTCATCTCCACCACCAGAGCCAGGGCATGCTGGGAGGCTGAGGACACACAAACGGAAACACAAATTAACTGCATGCAGTGGGTTAGTCTCAGAGTCCACATTTATCTGCAGGGAGCAGAGAGACCAGTTTTACAGTCAACCACAAAAAAAGTGCATTTCTCAAATTCTTCATGTTTGTTAAATGTTATGGATCACCAGAAGATTTTCTGGCCCCTCTGAAGAATTTACTGTGAAACAGTCTCCTTTTTTGGTAAGCCATATTTAAATCTAATGTGCACATTGTACTGACTGTACTCTGATGATGTATAGTCACATGTTCTCTACTCTACATGTCCATTTCAGAGTCCATAAAGCCAGGATTAGGTCTCAGGCAGTTAGTAGGAGGTTTCCCCCATTATATAATGACATGGTATAAGGTTTATCCTTCCTCCAATTAGTTCAATTTCATTCAGTTTAATTTTTATAGCTCCCAATCGCAACACTCACTCAGGCCTAAAAGCTGAAGGCTCTACTTTTAAATATATTTATGGTAGAAGAAAGATTTGAAATTTAATTCTAGAGTTAACAAGGAGACAATAAGGAGAAGCCAGTGTGGCAGAAAATATGGGGAAAGAAAAAACAGACCAAACACAAATATCCTTACTTTTGTGACGTGTTTAATTATTTCCCCACATTGAATTTCAGATGTTTTAGATTATCAAACATGTTTAGTATTATCCAAAGACAAACAGAGTATATATAAAATGTAATTAAAAAAAGATTATTGTCATAAAAAAACATATATATATATTTATATATATTATATATAAAAAGATTATGTCATTATTGTGTGAAAAAATCTATCTTGAAGCGCTTGATTAATTACAATTGAGAAACAATCAACATCTTTAGAGCATTTGTCTAAAAGAGCAACTGATAAACGAAATCATTGATATTTATGAGTCTGTAAAAGGTTGTAAAGCTATTTTGATGGTTTTGGGACTCCACTGAACCACGATGAGAAAACATGGAGAAAACTGGGAACAGTGGTGAGCCTTCACAGGAGTGCCTGACTACCATAAATACTCGAACAGATGACTCATCTAGGATGTCGCAAAATAACAATCAGAGCAACATCTGAGGAATTTAAGGCCTCAATTGGCTCAGATCAGATCAGACTGGAGTTCCAATAAGAAACCCACTGTTGGCTAAAAAAATCTCATCTCACATACGCAACAACATATCCTGATGATTCCCAAGACTTTTCGTAAAATATTCTGTAGACTAACGAGACAAAAGTTAAACTTTTTGGAAGGTTTGTGTCTAGATTCAAAAAGCTAACAAAGCGTTTGAAAATAATTTCATACCAAGAGTCACACATGTTGGAGGGAGTGTGATGGTCTGATTTGCTGAACTGAAAAAACATGAACCAATTTTGCAAAAGTTTCAGCAAATATTTTGCTTGCTGCCTTGGAAGGACAGCAAGATGTACAGTTTCTCTACGGCTAGAGACGGGGTTGGTATAACGTAGTAGTACACAGCTTGCTCCAACTAATCTTCTTTATTATCCCCAAAACCCCCATCCCAATAGCACTGTGTCAGCTCTCAAACCAATTAAAAGAACAAAAGTCAGCAAAAAACACACTCAACATAAAAAGATCACAAAGAAAGAACAATGCTTTATCTGCAACAGCGCCACTGAGTAAAACAGCAAAATCTAGATTATTAAACATTAGGTCTTGCTCTTCTAAGTATCTGTTAATACTTTACTAACTGATCTACAAACTGATTTACTTTTCACTACAGAAAGAAAGAAAGAAGAAGAAAAACGAAACAAGGATGCAGCAGGATAATTATATTAGCTTTATTGTTTTGTTTTGTTTTTGAATCCTGTCTGGTAGCTTTTGCAATCACAATTATGATAAGAATGATCGGTTTCACCAAACACATTTTGCTAATTCAAGAAGAGCCCTATAAATTCTCTATAGGTTCCTCTTGTTGATGTATTTCTTTTATCTGTTTTTTAAATAACTTTTGTTAGTGTTATTTAATTTGTTACATTATATTTAATATTGTAAAATATGACAATGTCTAAGCTTACAGGAAGAGAAAAAAAACACACACACAAAAGAAATACACACAGAGGATATTAGGAGAAGTAGAAACACAGCTGACACAAATTAGAATTATTATTATTCTTAGAATAGAATCAAAAATATAAAAAGAACTGGGTCCCAGCCCCTGACACATTCCCTCTGCCCCCATACCTTTAGCCCCCACTAACGCCTATTCCATTTATTTAGCTACAAGTGTAAGAGTTAATACACATTTCTTTCAAGAAGTGTTGCAAAAGTGGAAAATGTGGGATTTTCTGATTCGGTAGGGCACAGATTTAACATTGTAAGCTGTAAACAAATAAATAAATGTAAGTAAAATTTGAATTACAATTCTGTAGCTCTGAGTATATTTGTGTAAATACACATTGTTGAATATTTCTGAATATTTGTTCTGTAACTTTAAACCAAGTGTTTGAAAAAAAAAGTTAGAATTTCAAAATAAAAAGGTTATTTTTCTGCATATTTACTAATGTTATTGGCTCCTTGGGACAGTTTCTGGACTTTACTTACTTTGTTATTTAGTTCTTGATTTCTGGTTTGTTCATGTTTCCCCCCTACATATCTGGTCAGTCCTACTTTCATTTTGTAATTTGTTTAGTCTACCCTGTCATGTACCGTGTCTGTCTCCATGGCTGACTGCATTCCCTGTTAGTTTTACAAATGTAGTATTCGAGTTAGTACATTTGTAGCCCTTTCCCTCTGTTAGGTTCATAAGTATTACATACAGTGAGTGAGCATTAAAAGAGGATTTAAAGTTATTGTCTTACTGTAGATGAGGAGCAAAAGCACAAGAATCATCCTTTGCTTCAGGCAACCAAAGGTCCCCTGACTTGACAAACTGACACCTGAGAGAACAGACAGATCCAAAACAATATACCACGAATTCTCAAATGACGCTAAAAGGAAAGTTTGCTTTTGGTTTCTGTTCCAGAAAACAGGTTTAACCTGTTAAGAGGTTTCCCTTACCCTAACTTCTCAGTTCACGTCAGACTTGCAGTCAATGCCTGTGTGCATGCCAATAAGTAAGGAAAAAGCTCAGTATATGTTTGAATACAATAACACTGAATTATGAATATACAAAAATTCCCCTCTCACCCCTGTGTGCAGTCTTTTATTCTTCAAGTTCGGCTGTGGTAGTATCTTTGCTGTTCATACCCTGATAATAATATATTTGGCCCAGATCCGGAGAAGAGTCATCTTTTTTTTTTT